GATCAGGGGGATCTCGAAAAAATGGTCTAAAAATAAACAATTCCAGATTCACCCCCTCCGGTTGTGGATATACACGACAAGGCTGTGGTGTGGGCTTTACGAGTTTTGGAGACATTCCCATATCTGATTTACCTAAGAGAAGAGGTCAGACACCCTTTCAAACAGCAAACAACCTTCTCCCATCGCCTACAGGGCGCACACGGAAAGAGTCTTAGCTTTTATTTTCTTAGAAGTCGTGCAATTGGGCCTGGCGAGACTAAATAATGGCGGTAATGCACACAGAGGACATGCCCTCTCGCGGTAGGGTTGGAGAGAAAAATCCCTGCGGTTGTTTCCTGAAAAAGCAATCTGATTTCAAATGCTAGCCGTGAGTCAGAAATACCCTTCCCCAATGTCACCTCCCAACCTCCGAGCCGACTTGAAAGGAACAGGGAACAAAACTTCAGTACTGAAAACGCACTTGAAGGTCTGTCATGCTCGGAGGGGGAGGGGCAAAGGACTTGATGGGTTGTCGGTGGAAAGATGCTTGTCTACCCGTGTGAGGAAACTGTCCCCGTGCGATACCGGTAAACCACGACAAGCTACGCGAAACGTCGAGATTTGACGTCTTTCTGTTTAGTAATAAGATTGAGGGAAGGAGCTAGAAGGAGACAGGAGTTAATGACTTGCAGCATGTGAGGGGTGAGACAGTTGCTATAGTAACGGCAGACGATAGCCATCCTTCGGGTAACCCCGCCCGTCAAAACAGGCTTGGGTTTCTGTCGTTCTGCGGGCCCTGCTCACGGACACAGCCACACTACCCCGGCTCCCTGCCAGCTTGAAAGAGTCGCATTTCACCATTGGAATGACAACGTGTGGTCCACAACCGTCCGGCAAAATTATTTCAGTCAGACTTCTGAGAGAGAGTGATTCTGTCTCCATTGTAAACCCAGACTTGGATATCTTTAGTAAAAATAAAAACAAAACCCAACAACACATCTTTGCAAAAAATCATTAAGCTCAAATCTACCACATTTCTACAATTACAAGGAAACTTATTATAGTAGATTTCAAAGTGTAGCCACTTCCAAGCTTTTGTTCACATTTAAACGCAAAATTATAAATTTAATCTTTGCACCAAAAAGAACAAAAATGCAAGTTGAAAGGTACTTTTAGTGATCCATTTAGGCTGTAAATCATAGTAAGTAAAAACAAGCTCCGAGCATATAGTTTGATTTAAAAGATGTAAGTGCAATAAAGCTTATACTTCGAAACAGAAAAGCCTGAAGCGGTGAATAAATTTTGTGAGACTTAATAAGAGTGTCTAGGTCTGGAAAAATACTACAGTCTCAAGAAATATCCACACACAAAGGAATCGAATCCTCAGACAAAGACTTCTTTCTCAACACGTTTCAGACGCTTTTAAATTCAGAACAATAAATGGAAGTTCTCTATTTTTGAGATGGGTCATTCTGGGGTTTAAAAGCCCATAATTTAGCGCTAGTTTAGAGCAAGGTCAGTACTGTGAGTTACGGCTTTCGCTAAAGGATTTGAGGGCAATTGTTTAGATGTCACAACCTTGTCCTTCTATCGCCCGATGTCTTCATGCAAATCAACAACAAACGTTCAGAACAACATCAACGAATCTTCCTGTAGTTTTCACCCGATGTTGGTAAAATTGACTGATCTGTGTGATATAATTTGTCAGGAAGTATACACATCATAACAGTGATCTCGTTGTTAATTTTGGCCGCGTCTTTTTTGGCCCGGTTGTAGACAAAATGATTTTGTCCATTGTGTGAAATCTACGGGGTTCCAGGTCTAAAGTACTGCACGGAAAAGCCACCATATGGCGTGAAATATAGCATGTATATACCACTAAAATATAGGAGGATCTATGTACTGATATTATGAGTCTTATGGAGCTTTATTCCGTGAAATATCGCGAAACGTTTGGTGGATTTTGAAAAGAGACGGTTCACAACACTACCATTGTTCGCGAAGTCTTTTTCTCCCCCTTGTTACGAAACGCGATATTTCCGAGTCAGGGAGAATCTTTGTACCCTTTTTTTCAGGTTAAGTTGTTGTATTTCCGAGTAGTTTGGCCTTTTGGCTCCTTCCGTGTTTAACCAAAACAAGAAAACGGTGGTTTAAGCTATTGCAGTACTTGACATCTATCCAACAATTGGCACGCTTACAACTGTAACCGTTCATCCATTCTAGTCTCCCACCTTCACACCGTGATCATTTATTACACAAACGAAATAATGTCTCCTAAAAAATGGTGAAATGTAAGATTCTCTCCGGTGATTTTAATAACGGGGAAAATTAAATTCAGCAGGAATGAGATTTGATTATGAGTTTGGGAAGCGCGGGTTTTTCGCCGTGCGGGTTGGTAGGTAGATAGTCATATATCACTAGCGTGGTGGGGGATACCCCAGCCGTTTCCAACAGTGGCTTTCGTCACTTTATAGAGATTTACGGAGCTAGTACACACGTAGTTAACCCTACAAGCCAACCAGGCTCTGAACCCGCATCATTCTTGTAGAAAAAGAGCGATATTTTACTGGAAAACGGCGGCGATTTGAAAACGGGATTTCGGGCGAACGCTCTTCGCTCGCGCCGATTTCTCTAACAATTTCAGACCGCCATTTTTCTTCCTGAAATTTACAAGTAATTCACACTTCCAACACACAAAATCATATTGCACAAATATCTTGTTAATATTAAGGACAATATTCTAAGAAATCAACGAAAACGTATTTAGGAATTAATCTAATATTGTTGTTGTACATAAGACGGGGAAACACAAGTTAATTTCGTCCTCATTCTCAAACGTTTTAGAATCAAATATTTTTATACACAGTCGCACAAATAAAATCTTCCTGCACATTTATCAAATATGAATTTTAGATGTAGAATATGTTTGACAAATCGTTATTGTAATAATTCTAATGACAACTCATGTTCGTTATTTCTTGTGAAATAAATGTCAGATATCTAGAATAATAAATTGTGCGCATCTTTCTTTATCCCCTACCTGCTTAGTACTGAGAGAACAAAGAGACTTGTTTCTTTTTTGTTGTGTGAAGAAAAATCGCGGCAATTATCGAAGGTTAGGACGGTATAAAGTAGCTAAGGAAACGGTTAATAATTTAGCCACAAAAGCTCCAGGCATAGATTGTAGCGAGCAATCAGAGGAAGATATTTCTTGAACTGATTTTTTTTCGGGTCTCGTCTGGGCGCAAAACGCTCTCATTTCCTAGCTAAATTACACGGCGTATATCTCACATCTACTAACATCCATCAAAAAGTCAATTTTGCCAAGAAACCGCAGGGTGAGTAAAATCTGTAGGATCAGGGTGTAAGACTGGGTATGTAGAACGCGGGCGCGCGGCAGGGTTGAGTGATACATTTCTCAGTGGTTTGTCTCCTGGATCCTCGCGGTGTCAGGAAATGACGATTTTGTTCCCGTTACATTAAAAGAGATAAGCTATAAACACCCTCCAGCAGTCTACACGAAACTCATAAATCGCATGAATCTCAATAATAGTGAAGAAATATTCCCCGACAACAGCGCCGTTTAGAGTAGATGGGAAAATACGCGACCGTCTGCGTTGGTTACATCTGAGTTTTAGTCGGGTCGTTTTTAACACTGAACGCCTAACGTTCTAGCCACAAACTGCAGGAACAGACGGTGTCAAGTGCGGTAGTTATACTCCATAAAAACGCTCGTAAAAATGACTACAACAAATTTATGTCCACATTTGTCAAGGCCGGCCGTAAACCAAGGCTTGGGGTTTCCCCGGCTAGTGGAGACAATACTTGTTGGCACTTTTTTCTTTCTTCGAACGAAATCGGGTGGGTAGAGTTATTGGGGGTTTAAAATTAAGCCTAGTTCGGTTCCTTGCTTGACTTGGCAACGGAGGAAGACATTGGAAAACTACTGAAGCAAAACCACGGGTCTTTCAAGGGTCCTTGAGTTGTTCTTGTCGTTAAAAAGGACTTGCTTTCTACTAGCGACTGGTCCTCGCGCTATGGACCACGGGTAGCGCTCTTCAGTGCGACCTCTCGGTGAACGTTTGAAACTTTCAGCCCTCATTTCCCAACTCATTCGTCAGGAAGTATTACCTAAGCCTGCTCGCCGGAGAGACAGACCGGCTTTAGAGTTCTCTAGCCGGGATTCTCAACTATTTATGAACACCAAAGGCCATGTTTCTAATGGATAATCCACCCTCTTAACTTGGCGTAATTAGCTCGGGAGCAAGGAGACTTAACCGAAGGGGAGCGGGGGTAATATGGTCGTTGTAAGTATCGACTTGGTGAGTTTGCCGCCATAAATCAAGAGTGTCGGCTGGAACAAGCAATATTACCCCACTCCCCTGCCGAAAAGGCCCCACCAAAGTCTAACCACGGTTTTCAATAAGTTTCCAATTTAAAGAAACTGACAGCTTGGGTTGCAATTGACACCAGGCCGGTCTGGGGTTGCTCCCAGTATTGATACCGGGCCGCTATTTTCTCCTTCACCTAACACGGATCAATACTTGATAAAAAAATCACCCACAAAAACTCCTGAAAAAAAAACACAACACAGACAACACAAACTGGATGTAAACTAAAGCAGCTGCAAGAAAATTGGAGTTTGCCGGAAGGCGGTTTAGATGGTAGAGATGTCGCGTTTATTACTAGATAGACATCGACACTTTCACTAGCGGAGTGTTTGGGAAAACTGATTGCAAACTTGGCTAAATTACACTAGAGATAGGAGTGTTAACTTTCCAGACACTGTCGCGGAGTTAAATTTAGGAGGGCATATTACTTGCGAAGTAGGTTAGGAGAAGCATGACCAAGGTGTAACGTTGAGTGGAGATATATTAATCATACTCATAAATCACCCGTTGTAGTTAACCTTAATGATAAATTGTCATTTAGTCGACCTCTGACCTTAACTGCCATGGTAAACGACGCGGTTTGAACATGAAGGCAGTTACAACAACACACACAGACGTCAAGTGTTTCAGATAATTTATTAGATATTAGCAACACAGGGGTGGGATTTCTTCAAACATGTCACGGCTCTTCTTTACTCCTGTTACTTTGGGCAACCCTCCTTGTTACGTCATAAGACAGAATCAAATGGCATTGGCACAAACAATAGAGAGATGGAGAGAGAAGTAGCAAAACGACTACAGCATAATTTAAAACACTAATAATACATCGGGATCACACAATCATAATAATAATAATAATCATAACAGATTCACATACAAAGCTCATCAGAAAATATACAACGATTGTATTCTTAATATAACCCTGAGACGTTTTTTTGGTAACATTATTGTGCATTAATATGACTTAGGTATACAACTTTTTTTGTTCACGAAATCCATGCGTTTGGTCTGAATGCGATCTACATACTTAGTGAAATCTAGACACACAGGTGGAAATTCCCTAGGTACTAGGTGTCGCTTGCACCAGAGTGAAAAAGGACACCGGTGGAAATTATACGCTTACTATACAGTCTTTGGCTAAGAATTGGGCAGCAGGATAGGATAATAGACGGTAAATGAAGTACAGGAACACACACGCACACACACACTCACATCGATACAATGTCCAGATGACGGATAGACTCGGACAAAAGGATCTCACTCGTACACGTGTTACTACTACATATGATGGGGTGGGGTGGGGGGCTCTATCGTCCATATGATACAGTACACTCCTCTCTTATGTATTGCAAAAGCCCCTCCTATTCTCTACCGCTACAACGCCAGGGGACACATATACACAACTTTCCTAATAATTTACACTCGGCTTGTTGTGAAATATAAATACTTCAACTCGTATAATAATAAATACTGCCTCGTCTCAGCTCCAATATTTTTTTCGGGAGGAGAGAGAAAGAATGTTGCTGGTACTCGATTTTTTGACTCCGGTAATTTTGTTTTGGAGAAACTCACGGTTGAAAAGGATGGTAGTGTTAGAGTTCTATCATGCCGTGTTCAGAGACGATACCCTGAGATACCCCGTGGTGGTTATGCCGTACTACTGAGCTGTTGTTACCGGCTGAACCGCCGCTCGACGCCGAAGAAGACCGGGTCTTGGTGTTGGGGAGCCTGTTGTCCTTCTTCCACTTCATCCGGCGGTTCTGGAACCAGATCTTGATCTGTCGCTCCGTCAGTCCCAGAGAGTGTGCTATCTCTATCCGTCGCCTCCGCGTCAGGTACCGATTGAAGTGAAACTCCTTTTCCAGCTCCAGAACTTGTTGTCGAGTGTACGCTGTCCGGGACCGCTTGGAGTCCTGGCCATTGTACGACGTGCTGCCTATAGAACAAACACATAGCAGGCCGGTTAGGGCTCCGCCACACACACACACACACACACGCGCGCGCGCGCTCGTACACTCTACGTACACGTTACTACCGACTACAGACCTTAGTAACGATCTGGCACGGACATAAACATTCACATAAAGCTACCCGGGGCTACACTTCAAGTCCAACCGTGCCCCCATTTAAAGATGAACGGAATGGCTGTTCTGTTCCAATGTGACTTTGCTTACGATAATAAAACATGTCATTACGACTTTGTACCATAAAATTTATGGAGAACATAATGGTTTGTCTTGCGGTGGGTCCACGCGGCGCGAGGTACGGTTGTGTTTACAGCGACAACGTGGAGGGAGAAGGTGGGGAGAGTACGTACCTGTGTTGGAGTGGACTTTCTTCATCCAGGGGTAGACCATCGGGACTGTGGGCGGACCGTTGGACGGAGGACTGCCGCCGTCGGAGCCCGTGGTGGTGGCGGTGGTGGAGGTAGCAGGAGGAGGAGGAGGCGGTGTCGGTTGGCTGGGGGCTGGCGGCGGGACGTTGTGGTTGTGTTGTACCGTACTCAGGGTGGCTGTCGGGCGGCTGTGCGGCGGCGGCGTGTCCGGTCCCGGCGCGGGTCCCGGGGCCTGGCCGTGGCTCGGCTGCGGCGGTGGCACATTTCTGGCGGCCTGACTTACATGGTTGTACGACGACTCCGTGTACGTAGCACGCTGAAACGCCGCCGGCCCATAGTTCTGAGCGCGCTGAGGACTTGGCGTACCGTAGTAGTCAGGAATTTGACTCGGGATATAGCTATTTTGCGAGTATTCTTCTACGGGGGGAAACTTTGGGTCAACGTAGCCAGAGTTCATCAAGAACGAACTCATGATCATTAATTTCTAGGGTGGAAAATAATAATTTTTCTGGTGTTGTCGTATTTCTGTTATGGTCAGCCCTCCCCCGAGCTGTCATCTTGTCTTGGCGATCCCACCACGTGACGGCGGCGCCCAATCAGAGAGCGGCTCCGTGACCTATAGTTAGCATGTGCAGTTTGATGGATAGGGCCCTACTCCTAATGGCTTCGCTTCGAATGATAAATACTTTTATAAACGGTTTGTTGACGGGGGTTCTGTGGTCACCTCGTGTTCGGCTTGATCTCACTTGACCTTAACTAAAAAGATACCATTCCTGCGGCATTTTTCCCGCTTCCCACAAACATTACAACTCACAGACGCCTGTCGGGGCGCCCCTGTATTGAGGCAACGCTCGTAGTTGTCACAGCTAATGCAACTCGGCACTTGGAATCGTTTGCGCACTTCTCACAGACCCATAGCGCACACAATGGACTAAATCAAGCCGCTGTCATCAACCAGGGTCAAAACCCTTCTTCCTCTACCCTTCACTACCGCAAAACACTGACACAACGCAGAAAGAAAAAAAGAACGACTTGACAACTTAACTTTGTCCATCATTCTACCTAACTCCTCCCTCTTTCTAATCACCACTGAGGACAGGCCCAAGGACACAGTCCACATAATTCAGAAAACTTCCACCGCTTGGACCGTATCAACTTACAGCGCTACTGACCACCTCACTGACCACCCTGGATACTTGACCATCCTAATTCCAGGACAGTCGTCTCCTTTATCCGACTCATGGTCAGACAGTTGTGTCATCTTGAATGACTCCGTCCGTGTGTGTTTGTATGAGGAGATATGTACATTATGGGTGCAGGCTTGAGGACAGTTACTTTGTCTTCCAACCACGTTCTGTCTAGGACCTTTGCAAGGTTGAAACGTTCAGCTACCCAGCGTGACACAAGTCTCCTTCAAACCCCAAACAACTTACTTCACAACCCAAACCCAGCTCAAACCTATACTCGTTCCGATTTGAAGAGAAATATTTCCGTCGGTGGTGGTTTAGAAACAGCTGTGGTCGCTGGGGTGATGATGTTAGGTTTCCAAATGCTATTTTCAACACAAATACGCGTTCTAAAAACTGCCTTCAACTTTAAACTGTCACTGTGCCAAGTTTTGTTAGGAGAATAAAAAAAGTCTAGTTATTCGTTATGTGCACTGAAATTCTTTTTGCTGAGGAATAAGTATAACTGATATAGCTTTTAAAATCATCTAAGCTAGGATGTAATTATATAGACACATTAGACTCTGTGTTTATAAATCAAAAACACCGTTTTGTGGTCAAACCCCAGAGAAGTACGAAACTGATCGAAGAAATAAAAATATATCGGCCAATAAATTTCCAAGGCTGTAATTTTTCAAGCCTTAAATGGTCCTCAGAGGAAGTTATAAAAATCTACTAACCGTCGTTTGAAATGCATCAGAACTACGAAGCTGTTTTTCGTAACGATTACAATTATTTGTAACAATTAAAAACATTCTGTATAGTCCTTTTGAGGGATACTGACTCAAAGGGATGAACGGATTAAAATATATCAGTTGCCAAGGCTCCAATTTTCCTTTACTAAAACGTAACAAAGCGCTAACAGTTGTCCTACAGCAAAAAGGGAGGGGAATTGGGCATAATTTCCCACTCACAGTTTGAGATTTAAATAGAATCTCTTATTAGAGAGAGAGATGGCTAAAGCTGCCAAGTTGATTTGTTCGTTCGGGAGTGATTTTGTGTAGCTGCGAGCGGTTTTTGGATCGATCTCTCTCAATCAGTTGGCCATGTTACCCGCACTTGCAACTATCATTGCGTTTAATTATAGGTACTGCTTCAATTTCTCCATCTCCCAATCTTGTTCTTTCACGGGCCGCCGGTATCTAGAGGGCATCTCGGCAAAATGGAAAGTCGCCAAGGTACCAGAGCAAGTCGAACTTTTCAACTCTCAGAAACTTGCCATTGTTTTCGTACGGTTGAATGCGTTTGAAACCCAATTCCTTTTCAAAAGGGGGGCCTTCTGTACAAATACGGCGGCACTAAACGACCGCTTTTACGGAAGTTTTAACTCCTTTTGATGAAGTTCCACTAATTATTCGGCTTAAATTAGAGCAGTTTTGTAATCTTACGTATCTGATGAGATTTTGGACCACAAATGGTTTGCCAAGCAGTCGTCCATCATGAAAATGGTCCCTCTGAAACCGGGGTAGAAAATTGGACATCTAACGACCAAGGAACCGGTTTCATCACTCGCCGTATCTCTCCGAACACTTTTAATGGTGTGTTTTCCTGACAAATAGCAGTAATTATTTCCCCCAACTTCCGCTTTTCCCTGAAGCATTTCTTGAGTCCTCTCTCTCTCGTCCCGACAACCTGGTATTAGAAGTCCCTGGTTCGATTCCCAAGCGCTGGTCAGGTCACAGGCTACATTATACCTGCAGAAACGAATTTGTGACGTGGATACCTCACACAAATTCGGATCTACAGGGTACATATAGACTATGAACATAGCGTGATTTTTCTGGCCCGGTCTCCGGTAGTGTGGTCTGACAAGAACCGGTATCTGCGTCTGGAAAGTAAAATTAATTAGCAGGTCGTGGCCAGGCGGTAACCTCTTCTTAACCCTGTTCAATATACATGTAAATCTCCCGGCTCGGTAGAGCACGGGGGAAACCCCCCCTCTCACCCTTACAATGTCATTTTCACCAGCAAATAAATCTTCACAAGTGGACAGAATCAAACACACAACCCCCCCTTCTCAAATCCACCACCAAACCTCACTCGTCCCTTGACAACTTTCTCCCTACAAAGTTGATGATCGCAAGCTTCCTGCCTATCGATTGGTTTGGAAAACAAACGGCGGTTCTGTCCAAGCCAAGCTGGGAGTCGTGACCCCTCTTTTCCTTGTATTTTACAGGTGCAGAGAAGAACTGGTGTGTGGACCAGTCAAACCTGGGACACGACAAAAAACATCGATCCAGTCACCCCCACAACGACTCTTCCCAGACAAGCTCTTCCTGACGGATGAAAATGAAATGATGTGACTGCTGCAGAGATAAGAACGCTCCTCGCCCTGCCAGGCCGATGGTATATAGGAAAATCCTTTCATATCTAGATGGAGAAAACAACACAGGCTTTCAACCGACCTGTCTTTCTCGTCACATGATTGACAATGTGAAACCGACAAGGTGTCAGTTTTTCCAGCCAGGGCAAAACTCCACACAATACTTCTGAAGCGACCTTCTCTGTGTAGAAGAGAGATAACGGTTCGGAAGAAAGGACAGTAAAAAGACATCGACATTATCTGTTCCGAGTCGCTATTACTTTAGACCCCCTACTTGGAGTTGAAAAACGACGCAGTTGTGAGAAAAAAGTACTAGGGTTGGGTGATGGTTAGAAAGATGCAGATTTCAACCGCCCCGATGTGCAACTGGAATTCCCTATGTTAATATTTCCCTCAAAGTGTCTGCGAGCAATAATTTCCAATTCTACAAGGGGACTAATGCACAAAAGATTACATTTTCATTACTTGAGCCATTTGTCATTTCCGAAGCGTTGTTCGAATCCTCGTTCTCCGAAGACTACCGGAGCACTCTCTAAATTGCGTTTTCACTCCCAAGAAATGTTGACAGTGACAATGACATTTCCATCTGGAATTCTTTTCCATTTCTTGGCTCCTACTTCAGGGGAATTTGGGCTGTTGTATTCCAGACTACTTGGCTAGGCCTGAACCCCTACGGCGCATTATATTCAGCCATCCTCATAAAGTATTACGTTTTATGGTCTTGTCTAACCGCGAAACCATAAAATGTGACCTCGCTTGTGACCTCTCTAGTAGGAAGGTATCTGTAGGGGGATGGGTCTAGGGGACTAGAGGTCTACAATAAACCATTATGCCCATAAATTTTCCTTTGTTAAAAGCTATCCTAAACCGAAATATAATCTAACCGCAGTTCTATCACATCCTTGCAGTTGTCGGGAGTTATTAATATGCAGATCACGTCGCTATTGTAAGGACGGAAGAATATAGGACTGGATGGTATAACAAGATTATCAGAGTTAGGCGTGCATTACTCAATTCCAATACCACGCAGAATATTCTCATCTCTATTCCCTTTTCTTAACGCTGAATACTTCTGAAATCATTTCAGTTTTGTATATTTTTGTATAAAATGCACATTTTCTGCTCTCACAGAAATCACGAAATATGATATTGAGTTTGATGTAAGGAAACATGTTTGGGCTCGTTGGAGTTTTTTTTATTAGAATATAGTTGAATAAAGAAAAATGAGAGTGAAAAAGTGGTGTGGTGTGTTATGAATAAGTTGTGTGCGTCCATATTCATGTGTGAGTTGTAGCGTTAAGATCAGGGCATATGTGAGAGGATGAAGGATGCATAGGCCGCAAAGGTGAAGTCACACTTATGAAGGTTTTATTACCATAAAAAACGGCCACAGCGCCGGACCAACTCTCCGTATTTCGATGTCTGCAAATAGCGAGGTTTAACATTACACCAGCAGGTTGCGTGGCGAGTGGCTATCGCAGCAGGGGCTGGACCTGCGGGGCAGTGGTCATCTTTTGACCGCTTGAAAAGTTGACCATCGTAGGGAAACCACCTGCGTCAATTTAAGCCCCCAGATTTTGATAAATTGTTCCTACCAATTTTTGCCATGAAAAAATATAGTAGTTTCAAAGGACAGGGGTGAGCCCTCAAGTAAGATAGATTGAGAGCATATACAGGGCATATACATGATAAAATGTTTGTCCAGCATTTCACAAAGAAAAACACAGCCACAACTTTAACACACATTGTTCCTTTGTAAACATCTTCATTTATATGCTCGTACTGTACCTGACACGCAATGCTGGAAACTTAATTCCAAACGCACGATATACAATTTACATCCCACGAATACATACATAAATAAATTGTCCGATCGTGTAATATGTCTTTACCGAAAGCAATCTATCTTATTTTCATATCTGCGTACGTTTCTGGCAAAGTGTAATTATATCATTACGTCTAAACTGAAATGAGAAAGAACGTAAGGCGTTCTCAGTGTGGTTTTAATGGACGCTTTTGTTGTGGAGGTAATATTTGTGTTGTGGAGTTCAGAACTGATACGGGTCAACCCTAGGACATGTGTGCGGTATGGGTTCGTTTGGGCACATAATCAATGAACGGATTGCACCACGACGGATTATTCCGGGGTGAAAGTTGAGCAAATTTTGTCAGAAATTGCAACATAAATCATCTGGAAGGCAGGGTTAGGGCTACGGGGGCAAGGGGACACCGAGTCGAGCAGAGAGAAAACAAAAAGATGTGGAGCGTGCCTGGATGCAGTATTGCTACCCGGTCAACTGTGGGTCACCTCTTCATTTACCAGAAACAAAATCTCGGCAAAACTGACACGCACCATCACAAAAACCGGCACAGAAAATTACACAACATTTCAATCACCCACACTCACCCACACCAGACACATTAACACAGAACAACTAACCATTTCCCGTAATGGAGAAAATAATGAGATCCCTAATTAGAAAATTATTGAATAGAGAAAGGTGGCAATAGCACCTACGCTGGAAAACATTAGCCAAAAAACATCAAAAGGTTTTTCTCTCTCTCTCTCTCTTGCAGAATAATTTATAGGGGGCTAGCAAGAGGTTGCCACTGCATTTTGAGAGAAAGCTTGATAGGAAAGGACGGGTTTACAATAACTATTTATATCAGACAACTTCTTCTAACTACGTGATCAATCT